CTGTTTGTTGTGTTTGTTTTAATACAGTAATTGACTGATTCAATGTATTTGATAGTTAAAATGACTACAAATTCAGGTTTTCGTCACCACCGTCAGATGTGTCAACTCCGTCAGTTCTGTCACCTCCGTCAGTTGAATATTTTGATAAGATTTCATTATGATATTTTATATTTGTTGTGGAATTGTTGGTCACATGTGAAAGTGTAATCTGTCTGCTAACACGAGAATGTGTTTTGAAATGTTAAAAACATCTTGAATGCTGTTAAAGATAAAGCTGAAATTATATTACACAGTCCAAGCTAAAAAAAAGCACATTTTGTTAAAAAAAAGAGAAAAGTTGGGAGGTTGTGTCAAAGCATAGCTCAGTAGCTTAGTACATATAAGATACATAAATGTAGTTTCATTTGTCTGAGTACAAGGTTTTATTTTTTCAATTTTGCACCCTGTTTTGTCCCACTTCTCAAGAATGACTGTACTAATAAAGCTGGAAAAGTAAGTACTGACAAAGAAATGAAAGAACTTTTGTTTTGTATGTGACTGTTTTATGTAACAGTAAATGTTCATTCTTACGCTTCCGCCCCGAACTCATATTAGACTCCAGAAATTGCAGCTTTTTCACCAGCTCTTTTCTCTTCGCTTCATTTCTCAGAAGGTATTTCGCCAAAGCACATGCATATTGGGTTGCTCTAAATCAAGCAAACAAACAAACAACATGTTCAGACATAGTCTAGCTCGTCTTTACGGAGAAATCATTTCAATTCGATGTTGATTTGACGGATGACAAGCTTTGGTAAGAGACACTGACCTAAATATGCGATCCCTTCCTTGACTTTGGTTAGTGAAGCTGATGAAAGTTTCCATGTGGCTGCAACAGATAGTGTGCAACAACACTGAGCAGAACGCGATTCGTTCAGGAATAAACGACTAAAAGCTCGAAATACAATGCATACTTAAAGTTAAAGATCGTGTTAGTGTTGTCACTGTCCTGTCAAACCACACGATCCTGCGTGGCTGTGGGAACTGAGGTGAAAGTTCATGCAACATACTAAACACGTTGGAACCAAAGAACAAACTTCACATCCCTTTAATAAATCATTATTGGGTCGCGCTTATAAAAATGAACCAATTTAGAACTTAGAGATTATAAGAAATTTAAAATGTATGACATTATATATAAAAATGTTTATGACAGGCAGAGTGTTTGGCGATAGAAAGTCCGACTCATTTTCCGGAATCGATTCTTTTGAACAGTTCGTTTAAAAAACATTCCATTTTACGTCATGACGCAATTGCGTCATCAAACGGGTCCTGCATTCAAGTCTGATTTTAATCAAAGTTGTCCAATAAAACGTATGTAGGCTCACTGCGTTTTTAATAAGCATGTTTATTGTAAGTTACTGTATCCCCGTTTTGTTTGTTACAGTTATGATTCCAGCTCAAGTTGTAAACATATTTCCAGTACTTTTTATTTGTAATATTTCTTCTATCGTCCCAAAAGTAAAAGTATCGCCTCCTTGCTTTGAACAATTAGTAAACGAGTGGTTTAGAGTAGACTAGCTTTATGAACATGTTTCATTGAAAAGATCCGACTCAAAAGAACGATTCATTCACGTTCACGTTTATATTGATTGGTTTAGTCCCAGCACAAATCTACATTTTAAGATGAATGTTTTAACTTATTTTACTGTTATAAAGAAGATCAGTAATTTTATGTTGTTTTTGTAATTTTTGAACAAAGTGTTTATGTTAATTGTTGTGAAATGCGGAGCTCGCGTTTTAAATCGGATGTTTTTGGATGACGGACAAGTTACAGCGTTTACTTCCTGATTTAACTGACCAATGACGGGCTCGGGATTGGAGGATGGAAATACCTGGAATAGAACTACAGGTTAGTACCTGTTCCTTATGCTACTGCTATTATATGTAAATTCAGGCTCATTTGTAATTATTTTGTGGCTGGCAAGTGTCAATGTGATCATTTGACTTGCGGAACAATTATATATTATATATTTTATGATCTATTTCATATGATGATGATTTTTGCTGCTACAGACAAGTCAATTGAATTCTCTAACATTCTTTTTTATTTTTGATTATCAGCATGTTAATCAAGCTGTGAGTGTGTGTGCATTTTAAAGTAGTTGTGTGAATTATGAAACTGTGTATAAATATTGGCATAAGTCTATAAGCAATAAATTCAAAATCATCAGGGACCGGATGTGACTAAAATCTCTTTAGTAACTGTGCGTGTCATAAAATAGGAAGTTCTTTACATGAAACACATCATAAAAGCAGGGCCTTGACAGTCCAACTGAGTGACTTGGATGAGATTACCAGGCATAGCATACTTTCTATTTTTATGCATGATGCTACGTGACGATGTGAACTGCTCCAGTGTGATTACCAAAGTAGTTTTGCTGCCTTTTGTAAGAATATGTCCAGACAATTATTTGTGCTTTTTAATATTGTTAATTATTATAATTGTTAATTGTTATAATTATTGTTTACAGAAAACAAATAATAAATCAATTATATATATATATATATATATATAATTTATTATCATCTATTAGTATGGAAAAGGGAAAAGGCCTTGTTTTGCTATCAGTAGCATATAGAAAATCATTAGTCTAGAAGTGTGATGCCTTTGAAATCAGACAGTGAAAGCTCATTTTAGCACACTTCTAATTTTTTTACATAAAGATGAGATAGACTGTGAAATTTAAAATGAATCATCTACAATATTATTCTCGGCATTTGGTTATTCCTTTTGATGTGATCTATTACACGTTTTACATCTACAATGAGTTTTTTTTATTTATTATTATTATTATTATTATGATTATTTCTGATGTGCAGCCTGAAAGAGAATATATAAAATTGGGGAAGTTATTTTTTATTAAGGTAGTAGTCTTGTTTGATTGATGACCTTAAGGCCAAAATGATAAGATTAAAGCCAGAGTTCATTAGAGGAATAGTTCATCCCAAAATTAAAATTTATAGCCTCAGGCCATCGTCGATGTAGATGAGTTTGTTTCTTCATCAGAACAGATTTGGATAAATTTAGCATTGCATCACCTGCTCTGCAGCAAGTGTTTCCTCTGCAGTGAATGGGTGCCGTCAGAATAAAAGTTCAAACAGCTGATAAAAACATCACAGTAATTCACAAATAATCAACATTACTCCATTATTTACCATCTTATGAAGGGGAAAAACTACTTGTTTATAAGAAACAAATTCATCATTAAGATGTTTTTTAACTTAACCCCATTTTAACTTAACCCCATTGCTAAAGCTTCTCTATCCATAATATGTGACCCTGGACCACAAAACTAGTCATAAGAGTCAATTTTTCGAAATTGAGATTTATAAATCATCTGAAAGCTGAATAATATTAAGCTATGAAATAATAAGCTTTCCATTGATGTATGGTTTGTTAGGATAGGACAATATTTGGCTGAGATACAACTATTTCAAAATCTGGAATCTTGAGGGTGCAAAAAAAATCAAAACACTGAGAAAATCGCCTTTAAAGTTGTCCAAATTAAGTTTTTAGCAATGCATATTACTAATAAGTTTTAATATATTTACAGTAGGAAATTTACAAAATATCTTCATGGAACATGATCTTTACTTAATATCCTAATGAT